TCCCTGGGGGGCTGCGATCTGTGAAACTGTCGCCACTTTCGAGGCCTGCTGGGGGGGCCAGCACAGTGACGCCACGGGCGGACCCAAATTAGACCTCGCCATCCCTGGGGGGCTGCGATCTGTGAAACTGTCGCCACTTTCGAGGCCTGCTGGGGGGTCCGGCATAGAGGGTAATCGCGGCAGATTCAAATTAGACCTCGCCATCCCTGGGGCTGCGATCTGTGAAACTGTCGCCACTTTCGAGGCCTGCTGGGGGGCCCAGCACAGTGGGTACTCACCGCAGACTCAAATGGGACCTCGCCATCCCTGGGGGGCTGCGATCTGTGAAACTGTCGCCACTTTCGAGGCCTGCTGAGGGGCCCAGCACAGTGGGTACTCACCGCAGACTCAAATCGGACCTCGCCATCCCTGAGGGGCTGCGGTCTGTGAAACTGTCGCCACTTTCGAGGGCTGCTGAGGGGCCCAGCACAGTGGGTACTCACCGCAGACCCAAATGGGACCTCGCCATCCCTGGGGGGCTGCGATCTGTGAAACTGTCGCCCTTTTCGGGGGCTGCTGAGGGGCACAGTGGGTACTCACCGCAGACTCATAGTAGACCTCGCCATCCTTGGGGGGCTGCGATCTGTGAAACTGTCGCCACTTTCGAGGGCTGCTGAGAGGCCCAGCACAGTGGGTACTCACCGCAGACTCAAATTAGACATCGCCATCCCTGGGGGGCTGCGATCTGTGAAACTGTCGCCGCTTTCGAGGGCTGCTGATGGGGCACAGCACAGTGGGCTTCCCGCACGTCTTTCCCCTGCTCTTCGTTCCCGACTCCCCATGTCCTCTTCGAGCCTGTAGTTGTCGCCCCTCGTTCTTGTATGGTTGTCCTGCGCATCATGCCATTGGCGCCTGTCCCAAGTAGCTTACACATCAAGCAACGGATCCTGCAATTTGATTATCCGTGCAAGTTTCGGCCAACTCCTCGTGTCCCATGATACAAATGGGTTGGGTACGTCACAGGGTAACTTTATGATGCTGATGATGATGATTCTGATGATGTTGATGATGATGATGCTGATGATGATGGTGATGCTGATGATGATGATGATGATGATGATGATGATGATGATGCTGACGATGATGATGATGATGATGATGATGATGATGATGATGATAATGATGATGCTGATGACGATGATGATGCTGCTGATGATGATGACGACGACGATGATGCTGATGATGATGATGATTTTGATGAGGAAACGGAGGAGGAGGTGGAGGGGGAGGAGGAAGATGATGATACTGAGGATGATGATGATGATGATGATGATGGTGATGCTGCTGATGATGATGATGATGACGATGATGATGATGATGATGATGATGACGATGATGATGATGATGATGATGATGAGGAGGAGGAGGATGATGATGATGATGATGCTGATGAGGAGAGGAGATGAGGGATGAGGAGGAGAGGAGGAGGCGGAGGGGAGGAGAGGAGCAGAGAGGGATGAGAGGAGGGAGGAGGAAGAAGAGACGAGAGGAGGAGGGAGAGCGAGAGGAGGAGGAGAGCTGATGAGGAGAGATGAGTGAGGATGCTGAGAAGGATGTGATGAGGAGAGGAGATGAGATGATGAGGGAGAGGTGAGGAGGAGGCGGAGGATGAGAGGATGATGAGGAGGACAGGAGGAGGAGGATGAGGGATGAGATGATGAGGAGGAGGAGGGAGCTGAGGATGGAGAGATGAGGAGGAGAGAGGATGAGGAGCGGAGGAGGATGATAATGAGAGGAGGATGTGATGAGATGAGCTGAGGGAGGAGGAGGAGGAGAGGAGGAGGAGGAGGAGGAGGATGATGAGAGAGAGAGAGATGAGAGATGTGAGAGGAGGAGGAGATGAGAGAGGAGGAGATGAGGAGGATGAGATGATGATGAGAGCGTGAGAGGAGGAGAGGAGGATGAGAGGAGGAGAGGAGGAAAGAGAGGAGGAGGAGAGGAGAGGAGGGAGGAGGAGGAGGAGAGAGGAGCCAGGATGAGGAGGAGAGGAGAAGGACGAACAGGAGAGGAAGCGGGGGAGAGGCGGAGATTGAGGAGGAGGAGGAGGAGAGAGGAGAGGAGGAGGAGAGGAGGAGAGAGAGGAGGAGGAGGAGGAAGGAGGAGGAGAGGAGGAGGTAGAGGAGGAGGAGGAGGAGGAGGAGGGAGGAGGAGGAGGGAGAGGGGAGGAGGAGGAGGAGGAGGAGGAGGAGGAGGAGGAGGGAGGAGGAGGAGGAGGAGGAGGAGGAGGAGGAGGAGGAGGTGGAGGAGGAGGACGGACGAGGACGAGGAGACGAGAAGACGCGGAGAAGGAGGAGGCTGCGGAGGCGGAGGAGGAGGAGGGGAGGAGGGGAGAGAGGAGGGGAGGAGGAGGAGGTGGAGGGTGATGGGAGGAGGCGGAGAGAAGGCGGGGGAGGAGGGAGGAGGGAGGAGGAGGAGGAGGAGGAGGAGGACGAGGAGGAGGAGGAGGAGGAAAAGGAGGAGGAGGAGAAGGTTGTGTACGTACGGTGAGGAGGGAGGGAGTGAGGGAGGGAGGGGATGTTGATGAGGAGGAGGCGGAGGCGGATGAGGAAGACGAGGAGGAGGATGCTGATCATGCGGAGGAGGATGATGACGAAGATCAGGGGGAGGACGATGCTGAGGAGGATGAGGAGGAGGAAGGGGATAATCCTGCCTTTTGGTGAGGAGCAGAGGGGAGGATGACCAGCAGAAGGAGGAAGAGGAAGATGAGGAGGAGGATGAGGAGGAGGATGAGACGTATGAGGGGTGGTGGATGAGGAGGAGGGGGATGAGCAGGAGGAGGATGAGCAGGAGGAGGAGGAGGAGGAGGAGGAGGAGGAGGAGGCGGAGGATGATGAGGAGGAGGATGATGAGGAGGAGGATGAACCGGAGGAGTAGGTAGGGATTGAGGGATGGCGGGGTCTGCTGGGCAGGCTTTTCGCCGCGAGCAGAGAGAAGTTGTAATGTTTGAGACGGCAACGGCCTGGGTGAGCACACCTGGATAGCGCAGCCCCCCCGTCGATTTCAAGGGCCTTTCGCCGTTTGGTGACAGACCACAGTGACCTCCCAGCATCAGATCAGTGCAGTTGCGTGGGCCGAAGATAATGCGAATTCTTGACGCACAATGTACCCCACCAGCCTATCTAGAAACGATCGCCATACGAGGTTGTTCTGACGAGGGACGTGTAGAGGTTGTTCTGACGAGGGACGTGCAGAAGGGTGCAGTGGACCGACCGCCTTGTGAACGTGTCGGGGGCGCAGAACGGGCGAGACGATGTGTGAATGATCTCGCACAGGCTCCCATGCAACGGTGGCTTCATCGGGTTCTTCTGGGGTCCCTGCTGGAGTTATCCTGGGACCCTCTCGGGGCGGGGAGGTCGCTCTCTTTGACAATCGGGGCAGGACGAATGAACCGAACACGACAGGAGGAGGAAGAGGAGGAGGAAGAGGAATACGAGGCGAGAACGGGGAGGAGGATGATTAGGAGGAGGAGGAGAGGAAAAAACGAACCAACATTTTAGTGCATGCGGAGGATGAAGGAGACGATGATGAAGATGACGACGACAACGACGCGCCAACCGTAAATCCTTCGCGGGGCTTTCGTTCCGCGAGCCTCTTGGAAGCCATCTCGGGGCCATTTTGGATGCCTTTTTTGGCTCTCTTGGGGCCTTCTCGGGGCCCTCTTGGGGCTGTTTTGGGCGTCTGGGGGGCCTCGTGGGGCAATCCTGGGCCCCATCGTTCAAAACGAGGGGGGGGGGGTTCTAAGTGCCAGTCTCCCGCTCGGATGCCGAAGCAGTGCCCCTTTGAGCCCTCTTGGGGCGCTCTTGGTGCGCTCTTGGGGGTTCTTGGGGCCGTCTTGGGGTCCTTGGGCCTCTCTTGGGGCTCCCTTGGGCCATTTTGGAGCCATCATGATACCTCAATGATCAGAAGCCATAAAGCGAGAAGGCAAGCCACGTTGAATTGCCTTAGGTGTTTGAAGGAATTTGGCCTCTTGGAGGGTGCGTCGGAAGGCTCGGAGAACACTTGGAGCCATTTTGCAGCGGCCGTGGAGCCTCTTGGAGGTATGTTCGAAGATATACTGAGTCATTGCGATGTCTCTTGGGCCATCTTGGAACCATCTTGCAGTGTCAGGTGCTCTGTTGGAGCCATCTTGGACCAAGAGGGCCTTCTGCCACCTCGCCCCCCCCCCCCTACGGTCCAGACTCAGGGGAGGGGGTAGGCCCCCGAGCAGGGGAAGGCCTGTTCGAGGGCTGGTGGGATTCGTCGTAACCCATCCTGCCTGTAATGAGCTGTGGCCGGACATGGGGCGAAATCGTTGCAACGCATGTCGTCAGGAGGCGGGGGAGTCGAGGATCCCCAAGTTGGTGCTCGGCTCACCTTTCGGCAGCTTTAGGGCCTTGGCCTAAGAGCCGCACGAGTTGGACCTGCCACCAGGCAGGGCAGGCAAGGATTCTGCTTTCTGCCGCTGAGTGTCTGATGGAGGAGCGGTGGAGAGGAGTTGGCGGGGTGGCATGCAAGGCACTCCCTTGCATAACGGTTTAGGCACTTTGCCGGGACGATGCCTCCACATATGCTCTTCGTCCTCTCCCCATCCTCCCTCATTCCTCCTAATCATCTCTCTTCCAGTTCCTCTTCCATCGTCTCGTCTCGTCGTCGTCGTCGTCGTCGTCGTCGTCGTCGTCGTCATCCACCATGCTGCTTCCTGCTCCTCCTGCGCGTGTTTCTCCCGCAGTGACTCCATCCCCCTCCCTGCTCTTGTCGAGTGCGCAGGGCTCACCTCCTTTGTTCGAAGAAGTCCAGCGGAGGGCATTTGCGAAGAACGGGTGGCGACAACTCAGCACTGTCCTCAGTTCGGTGGACGCAGCGTGCGCAATTGTGGAGCAAGACCATGCCGCAAGTGTCGTGGATTTCGGATCAGCGTTGATGAAGCATAGGTAGGTGGAACAGACGCTGCCCGCTTTTTGCTCACGTTAGGGGCTGTGCAGGTGATTACGCCACAGAGGACTCTTACCTGAATGGGAAAAACTCCAAAGGCCCTTACGGCACCATCAACCTCGAGAAGGCTCGCTGTTTCTCATCGCCAGGGCGCGACAATCACTGGAGGAGGTAGGACAGGACACGGTCTCTTCTCTTCTCTCCCCTCCGCATTCTCTTCGCTCATCCCCGTTTCCCTTCCACATTTTTCCACTACGAATGCTGCCCCACTCTCTCCCCCGAAGGTGTCCTGAGAGTCGCGCGCCCCTCTCCGCGTCCTTTTTTTTGCTGTGCTTCTTTTTCGTTTTGGGAGATGATGCGCCGGATGGGCCCGACAGTGGTTTTCTGTAGGTGTTTTCCCGTTCCGAACCGTCTCGGTCCTTTTCTAGAATCGTTGCTGTCCTTCCTTCGTTCAGACTGGCGCTCTCGCCCCAGCGCGGCCCACCTTTCTGGATCCGAGTCCTTCCTCATCGTTGCCGCCACCCTCCCTTCCCCTCCTACGCCTTCCCCTGGTCCTCTTGCTCCCCCGCTCCTTCCTCTCCAGTTGCTGCTGCTGGCGGCCCTCGTCCTCCTTCCTCATCCTCCTCCTTTTCCTCCGGCTCGTCCTTCTGCTCATCCAGCCCTTTGCGATCGAGGCGAGCGTTGCAGGGACGTTCTTCAGACGGGCAAGCGTGCCTGCGAGTCAAAGCTTTGGAGGTCCCCCTTCCCCGATCTTCCATCACAGCGATTTGCGAGGAGCCATGGCGACGACCCCGTGGAGGGCGGACCGCGTGGTTCGGCCGCAGCAGCAGCTTCTAGTGCAGCGACAGTGTCAGCATGGAGGAGGGGCAGGCGCCTATTCTCCCCAGGGTGGTGCCAAGTGGTAGTGTGGGAGTTGTGGTTCCCGAAAAATACAAGTCAGCATGGCTCCTGTGCAAGATTTGCTGGAAGCCGCGCTCGCGCCCCAGGTTCGGCAGCCCATCGGCTCCCATGGGTTCGCGCTGGAGTGCATTTTTTCCCAGGACAGTGGTCGTGGGGTCGGTCGCCTTGCGCTCAATCTCCTGGTGATGGTCATGCTCTCCAGCCTGTTTCTCGTCTCCTCCGCCCCGGACGAGCCGCGGCACGAAGCGGGCAGCAAGACGGCCAACCACCAGCTGACGTGCCAATCGACAAGGGTATGGTCGCCCAGTTCACTGCGCCCATCGAGTCGTTGCGGGCAGTTGGTGATTTGTAAGCGCCACGCCAGGTTGGACGCCAGGAAGTCAGGGATGGTAACAGCCAGGCAGCCCCCGCCCGTGCATCAGCGTGCCAAGCGTGCGTTCCGCGCTCCACGATGTGCGGGAGCGCCAGGGGAGGTCGAAAGGTTCACAGGGCCCTGGTCAACAAACACTACGCCCACGTGGAGGGACCGCCGTTGCAATCTTTGCCCCCCCTCGTTCTCGCCGGTCAATGACAAGTGACAAGTGGGCCGGCAAGGCAGTGCCCATCAAGTTTGAGTTTCTGGTGCAGCACAAGCTGGGCGAGTACTAGATGTGGTTCAAGAGAACGACAAACAGCGGCAGCTCTTCAAGACGGGCTGCGTCAGGTCGCCACCGCACTCGTTTCGGAGGCCAAGGTGCAGGCTGACAAGTTCCGCGAAGGGCGTAAAGGGGCAGGCGGAGGCAAGCGCAGAGGCGTCTGCGGACTGAACGACCTTAGAAGAAGTCGTCGGCATCTTCTTTTCCAATGACAGCTTGTCCAGTGGCGTCGTCGGATAGAGCTGGTGACGGTGGCGGTCCAGGACAGGGTGGCACTTCGGCTGCGGCGTCTTCAGCGGCGGGGCTGGGTCGGGAGGTTTTTCTGGTTAGGCGTTGGGGCGCGCTAGGGAGCTTTTGCAGCGGCGTACCCCGGCGGTTGGGGGGCGTTTCTAACGTGGGTTGTTCCTCGTTTTTCGTCGACAACTTCGGCTTCGAAGCTGATTGGGTGGTCTGGTCTTCAATCTCGCCTTTCTGTGTCTTGTGACGGCGTGCTGCGATCCTAGCAGTGGAGCTTTCGTTCATCTGGGTCGCGCGGGTATCATCAGATAACCTGAGTAGCGCAGTTTGGCATGTGATGCGCGTTTCCTCCTCGGACGGGTGGTCGAGCTGCCATGTTTTGCGCGAGGATCCTTTCGGGCCTTCTCTCCCTTCGCGCGCTCCTCCATGAACATATATGAGCGCAGTTGAGGGCCCGATGGGTCCCTGAACTTTGCCCAAATCGGCTTGAACTGGGTATTGGTAACGGCCATTTCTACTTCTTCAGCGGAGAGTTTGTCAGCTTGGCAGTTCATCGATGCAGCGTGTTCGGCCTCGCCGTCTTGGGGTTATCCTGACCGCGTGGCGTTGCCCAGCTGTCCTTTCGGTGGCTTTTTTTCGCGCGGTTCGACGCGCTCTGGTGACTGGGGCCAAGAGGGCCCCGCTGGCACGTGTTTCTCCGAGCCCTTGTCATAAAGCGCGCCTGGGGACCCTCTCGGTGACAGAGGATGCAGCTTCATTTCTGGCGTCAGGGTCCGGCGTGGGTTGCAGCGGTAAGTTTTGCATCGCGTCGCCAATTGTTGTTTGGTTTTTGCCCCGCGAGTTTATTGTCGGGTTTGGGCAGGTTTGGGTTGTGAAGTCGACGGCGCAGCTGATCCTTCTCCAAGAACGCAAGCAGTTCGAACATCCAATGCCCAGTGCTTCGGGCTGGGCGACAAGGAATGGATGGAAGTCATTGTGGGCCTCGGCGGTGTCTGGTCCTTGAGGTGTGGCGGCTCTGGTGCGTGGTGGGTGCGGCTGGCATGCGCCTGGTGCTTGGTGCGAGATCGTTCTTGGCCGGCCTGTGGCAGGAATCGTGGGGTGACCAAGTGCCGGCGCCGCGATTGCGAGGACCTCTCGGGCCGAGATGTTTTTCCTTTCGTCTTGCAGTTGCCTGGGGGCGCGCTTGGCTTGCACTCCCCCCCCCCCCCCGGGGGGTGGGGCTTCGGCGGGCGTGGGATCTGGTGCCGTTCATTCTTGGGTCTTTGTCCCAGGATTTCCGAGGGGCGATTCTCGTGGCGACGGGTGGGCGAGCGTGTCGCTGCGCGGCTGGCATGGAACATGCTATTTTTTGGTGTAGTGCTGGCCTGGCCAAAGGCGTGGCCGGGGTGGGGCGTGCCCGTGAGTCCAACTTGTCGCCGCGCTGCCGTGCGTTTGTGTGCTCATCCTGTCCGCGTGTTCGGCTGCCATTGCATGTAAGTGGCTCGGTGGCCTCTGCAGGGGCTGCCGAGGGCGCTGGCTGGCCGTGGGCGAGCAGTGCGCGAACGTGATGTTGGGCGCACTTCAGCAGCGGCCACCGCTGATGGTCTCCGCCCTACAAGCGCAGTCTCTTGTCCATGAACTGCCTGAGGTGCTCATCATCAAGCTCCTGGTGTGCGAGGAGGTGCGGGGCCCATGGTGCTCTTCGCCGCTCCCCGCGAGAGCTGCAACGTTGCTCCCTGCGCGGTCGGGGCTCAGGCGGGGAAGGGGATTGGCGAGGAATTTCGGGGAGTGCATGTTGTATTGGGCTAATGGAGGTGCGGGGGGAGTTTGCGCGGTGTCTAGTGGAACCACCGAGTGGGCGTCTGCCACCATTCTGTCCTTGGGGCGAGTTGTTCTTTGGAGGTTCGCTGTCTCTTCTGCTGGCCGAAAGCCGCGAGTTCGCTCCACCGCTGGGGGGTGGGTCGGGGGGGGGGGTCTGGCTGTCGCGATCTTGGTCCATTCAGGATGGGGTTCAGGGCGAGCTCCCTTGAGTCATTGTTTCTGCTACTCTCGGGCCTTCCACGGGGGATTTGACGAAGCGACTCGGTTGCTTCGAGCGGGTTCCACGCGGGGCGCTTTCGCGCGATGAATTGCCGCGCTTCGGAAGGCTTGTCTAGGATGTCCGCGTCGTTGGAAGCGTCTTTTCTGTTGCGTCATCATTGCGCCATAGTGCTGCTTTCGCTCATCCCCAAGGCCTCAGTTGGATTCGGACTCATTGGCGCGTCTTGCCCCCGCTATATGTCCCGCGGCCGTGCCCGCCGATCCACGCGTCGGCAATGGGGGCGCGATCGCGCTAGGGAATATTATGCGGCGGGTTCGTTCGAGGGCGCGCAGGGCGTGATTTGGAGGCAATCCCTGAGGGCCGAGTTCAGCATGATTGATCGGGGTTGCTGCGCGGTCTTGATCGACGTGTGCATGTCTCGTGGGGCGCTGATATCGACGAATCGTTGCAGCGTTGCGCTGCTCTCAGGTTTCCCCTTTCTCTGGCCCGGGTGGCGGTGTGCGTGTGTACTCAGACTGGATGGTCAGGCTCTCCGGCTTCGTGGGCGGTCCGTTCTTGGCTGCCAGGGGCATTGTGGTGGGGTGCAGTTTCGCCGTGGCGCTCTATCGCGCGGGTGCGATTGGCGTGCTGGATAGTTTTTCTGCCCCGGCGCAAATTCGTTTCACGTTGCGCATCGATGGGCGCGTTTTGTCTTCCGCCTGATCGGCAGATCATATTCTGAAAAAGGCCCCCCCTGCGTCGAGACTTGTGTGCCGGTTTCTCTCGGCTGGGGCAGGGGTGATTGTTTGGGCTGGTCCCGGGAAGAGATGGCTTATTTGCTCCTCCAGGTCCTTGGGCTAGCAACTCGGTTTGCGCCTTGGGGGCTTAGCTGGGCCCTTCGTCTCTGGTGCCGCTTGACGAATGCGACTCTGCTGGCAAGTCTCTTAACGTACCTGGAAGGTCTAGCCGGGCGAAGGCCGGGGAGGTCAAGTCTACGCTCAGATGTACGGTTGGGGGTGCAGATGCCAGGGGGGTCTTTGCTGTGGGGCCCATGGCCGGTCGCATTTCCGGGGCGGGCGGGCCTTGGGCTGCGTCGGTTCAGAAGACAGGCCGCGTCCGTGCTGCGGTGTCTCTGCCAGAGGTAGGTATTTGATGCGTTTGTGGGCGCACCGGGGGCCGCACTGGCTCGCGTCGGTTGCGCCCGTCGTCCGTTGGGCCAGGAAGGCGTGGACTTCGCGCCGCTAGCTGCGCGCTCATGCAATGCCTCTGACGGAACTCATGGAGGCTCGGGCTGCTGATTTCGATGGCGAGTTTGGGCTTTAGAAAAACATTCGGGTGTGCTGTGGGCGCCCTTTGGACATTTGGTGAGCGTATTCGTGGAGTGTGGAGTAGTTCGCGGTTCTTATTTCTGATCATTGTGATTTGATCGATCTTACTGAGGTCTGCTTCGGGGCCAGACTTAACCTTAGTGGGCGTGCGTGTTCTGCAGTGGCCCAGGAGCTCTCGACTCACTCCTTTCCAGAAAGATTGTGTCAGGGCTCTGTTCTGTAATGCTACCTACACTGAGCAACGTGCGTCTGACTCAGGTTACTTGTTGGTGGGCATCTTCCGTTCGCCATGCCTGAGGTCGCCAGGCGCTGAGGCGCCGTCAGTGGAGATGCTCGGCTGTTGGGGGGGGGAATATGGAGTTTGTTACGCAGGAAGTCGTGGTGCTTGCGGAGGAGGTGGACGACGCCCGCGCGTGCTTCGGATTGTTTTTGTATCCTGCTGAAGAGTTGTCTCGTCTGCCCAAGTCGGGTGGCATCCAGGTCGAGTGGATTTCGGAGCGTGCTGAGGGTTGGACTATTGATAGCGTGCTCCCAGGCGATACTGTGAAGGCCTGACGGCCAATGCCGCCGATCCCGAAAGCGGGAACTCCCCCGGGGCCCCCGTCGGCGACCCTCCCAGAGGGGTTGTGTCTTTTCCTTGATGTCCACAGGGGGAGGCGGGGGGACGGGCCTTGAGTCCCCCCGTCCACAGGGGCGCCACCCTTGTCCCCCTGGTGCCCAGGGGTGACTGGGGGGAGAGGGGGGGAGGGTGGTGGAGGTGGTAATCTGACCCCGCCCCCCCCCCAGGCCCCCTCCCTACCCCTTTTGCGGGGGGTGCGTCAATCCGACCCGGGAGTTCCCCCCCCGCAGGGCCCCCCCTCCTCCTCGTGCCCCCCCTTGTCCGCAAGGGTGACGGGGGAGGGGGGGGGTTCATTGAGTCCCCCTGCCCACAGGGGGGAACCATTCCTTGTCCCTGTCCCCCCTTGTCCACAGGGGGGGTCCAGTGGGGGGGGCGACAATATGATCCAAGACCCCCTCCAGGGCCCCCCCCTCACCGGGGGGGCTTCCCCTTGTCCCCCCGCCCGCAGGGGGGCTAGTGAGGGGCAGCGGGAGGGTGCGTTAATTTTCCCCCCTGTCCACAGGTGGTGCCCGGGGAGGTGGGGGTGGTAATCTGACCGGTCCCCCCCGTCACTGAAGGGACAGCGGGAATGGAAGCGACTCAGCTACGATGTTTCTTTTCATTGGTCGTTCTTCGATTTCCTTGAGATTGGTGGCGACGACGACGGCGACGGCGACGACGACAACGAAAACGACGGCGTCTCGCACGCGCCGAAGCGTCTGCGGATTTTCGGAAACGGTTTTTGCACGCATCAAATTGTTACTGACATGAACGGTGGTGCTTGGGTTGTCTCTCCTGTGAAGAGTGCACTCCCCTGCCCCTCTGCCGCCCGTGCCACCATGTGTGTATGT